ACAATAAATATTTTTAAAAATAGGACTAAATAGAAGGCCTCCTAACCTGCAATCACCTCCCTCACCCTCAGCTCCCAGCACACTCACTCATCCATTTGCAAAACGGCTCTGTCTGCAGTGAGAGAGGCAAATGCTCCCAAAGGCTCCAACTTGTGTGCTCATCACTGACAGCGCAGAGCTGCCTCACAATAGGGCCCAACACAGTGTTTCTGACACAACCAGACCAAACCTTCAAAGCACTAAATCAAAGCAATGCTTTTAATGCAAGAAATTTTAAATTTCAGAAGAGGAACTTCCTACTGAATCTCTGACCAGCAACTGATGATGTTATTCATCTCTGATGCTCAATGGTTCTCATTACTGAGATGATCCAATCAAAAACAAAGAAATGAGTTCATCAGTTGGTGTTTTGGGGGATGTGGGTGGAGAAGGGTCACAGTCCTCACTGAGTGAGACCCCCCCTGCTCCCTGCCCCTGTCCTCTCTGAGCTCCAACATGGTGTGTCTGCGGCTCCGCGGAGGCTCCTGGATGGCCGCTCTGAAGGTGATGCTGATGGCACTGAGCCCTCCCCTGGCTCAGGCCAGAGACACTCCACGTAAGTGCACCTTGGGGGTGAGCTGTTGTGGGGGGAGGAAGAAAGGGAATTAGCTTTGTCACTGTGTCCAGGCCATGTCCCTTAGAAAATGGTGGCATTTTCCTCAGTGACCACCTACCTTTATCATATGAATCCTGATTCTTTCCACCACAAAAGGGGCTGGTGCTCGCCACTATGAGATGTGCAAGGGGCTCCATGTATCTCAGCTGTTCTTCTCACCTCGCCTCCAGTAACCCTCCCCAGCCTGTGTCCCCTTCCATGGGGGTCTTGAGAGGATTGAGAAATAATTATCTCAGACTGATTCCCACCCATTGTTCCACTTATTGTATTGAGTTATCCCCGAAAGGAACATTTCTCTGGCATTTTATGGGGAGTCAAAGGAATTAGAGGGTCTCTCTTTGAGGACCCTGTGTTCTGTCCTCAGCAGAATCTGTGATGCTGGCGCCTCTCCCTACTGTGTGAGATGTATCCAGGGGCCTCCCCACCACCTCCTTTCCTTTCTCCATGAGCCCCCAAAGCTCATAAGTCCCTGTAATGGAGCTTCTCCTATAGAGTGGGGCTATGCTCTCTCTTCCTCCTGTGGAAAGCCCTCGGGAGCTGAAGCAGAGATGCTGAGTACTGGGAAGGACCCACAGATGAGAGGCGTCTCCTGAATGCCTGGCAGGGTAGTGCTCATGAGGGATCCATGTTGAACCTTCCTGTACCATCAGTTCCTCCTACATCTCCCCTTCTCTGGCCTGAGCCCACAGATAGGGATTCAATTAGTAGAAATAAACTATATGAAATTCTGTGTTTTTAAGTTAAAAATAGTCAAATGTTAGCAATTTCATATGTTCAAATTATACACCGTGAGCAGGAGTAGAGAGAGAGTGGGGTGGCTTACATCCCATGGGGCTGAAAGTCAATAATCGAGTCAAGGGAACTCATTGGCCTCCTGGAGTCTTGGCCCCGAAGCCACAGTCCATTCATCGTGTCCTCGGTTTCCCTTAATGAGCCATGTTTGGTTCCCTCTACTTCCAGGTCCCCCCTATTCTTTCCCCAGCTATGGCATCACCACTCCTGAGACCCCAAAGTTCACACAGACGCTCAGCCCTGGAACAGATCCACGGACAAGATAAAATGTAGTGATATTTTCCCTCTTTCTTTACCTGTGATGTGTCTTCCAACTAGTAGGAGGGAAATGAGGAAGAGTCTCTGAATTTCTCACAGGAAGCAGAGGGAACATAATGTGTCATCTGAATAAAAGTGTGTGGGAGCCTGAGCCCTTGCTGCTTTCCATGGTCCCCACAATGATCAACTCCCACAGCCTGAGTTCATTCATTAGACCACAGGGATTTATATGAGCGACTGTTACACACTAGGCTCTGTTCTAGACTCAGAGAAGCCGATTTCAATATGATAGAAAGTCACCTTTTACATGAAACTTAGCTAACGCCCCGCCTCCTCCAGGCTCCTGTCCCCTCCCTCCCACTGTCTGGGCTCAGAGCTGGTTCTCTGGTTTCCCAGGAGGCACATGGGTTCTCTCAGGCTTCGCAGGTGGCATTGCCTTCACCTGAGATGTGCCCGCTCCTCCACATACAGCAACCTTCTCCCACATCCTGTCACTCAGAGGCCCTGGCCCCGCCCCTGATGGGACTTGGACCCTGTGGTCCCTGCTCCAGGCGCCCCTGTCCTGCCAGCTCCCTCCTGTGTGGATGCGCCTGTGGTTGGGCTGTGATGGGCACTTTGGTGAATTCTAAGCTGCAGAGCGGAGGGCAATGCCCAGTTTTCTTCCTGGGTTCCGGGCAGCTGGAGCCTGGCACGAGGTCCCCTGCCCAGGGGGTAACAGGAGGAGGCAGGTGTGGGGAAGGGAGAGGCTGGGGGTGAGGAGGAGGCATCTAGGAGGAGGTGGTGATGGCACAAGTCCTCGCCCAGCCTGGAGCACGGGCCCCATGGGTCAGCCCAGTGTGTCCCCAGTGGCTGAGGGTCCCAAGGTTCTCTCTGCCCTGCAGCCTCCCTCCATCCCTAGATGACAGGGCCCCCGGGTGCTGGCAGTGGGGGTGCTGGGGTCCTGTGTCCCCACAGCCAGGGCCCCCCCCCCATTGGGCGGCTTAGCCATCCTCTCTCACCAGCATGAGGGGTCCTTCCTGTCCCCACAGCGCATTTCCTGTATCAGCCTAAGTCTGAGTGTCATTTCTCCAACGGACAGAGCAGGTGCGGTTCCTGGAGAGACACATCTACAACGGGCAGGAGGACCTGCTCTTTGACAGCGACGTGGGGGAGTTCCGCGCGGTGACCGAGCTGGGGAGGCCCATCGCTGAGTTCGTCAACAGCTTGGAGGACCTCCTGGAGCGGGAGTGGGCCCAGGTGGACAGGTTCTGCAGAGACAACTACAGGTTGTCTCAGGAATTCCTGGTGCAGAGGCAAAGTGAGTGAAGAGGGTGGGAGTGGTGGCATGGGGGAGGGGTGCATACACAGAACTGTGAGGATCACCCCTGAGGGGCCTGAGGGCGGCTGTGGGGACCCTGAGGTTCTGTCTTGTGTAGGACGTTTCTGGGGGTGCCCAGTCCTGTCCAGTGGGGGGAGGGTTTGGGGGGGAGCAGCGGGGAGGGAGTGGTGGAGGTGTGAGGAGGGAGTCAGTCTGTCTTGGCCAACACCCCCCAACCCTGAGCCCTGGAGTAGGGGTGCTGGGTGCCCAGGCCTGTCCCTGGGCGGAGGGTCAGGCTGGGTGTGAGGGGCAGGGCCTCGGAGGCACCTCTGGCCTCTCTGAGCTCCTTTCAGGTCTCAGTGTCTTGTTCCCCCCTCAGTGCCCTGTGTTTACAGAGGGGGTGATGGGGAGCCAGGGTCTAATTGTAATTGTGTTACTTAACACACTGATGTCACGTCTACACAGGACAGCATTTAAGTAATTATGTTAACTTTTTAGAGTTGAGACAATTTACCTCACATTGTATTTTGTTAAATATTTTTTCAATATTGCCAAATACTCACTTGAAAATTTGTTTTTTATTTTTAATTTATCCTTCTTTGATTTCTAAGGTTCTTGAACAGTTTTCCCGTATGTGTTGGCTAATGACTGTTCCTGCTCTAGGAATGGCCTATTGTCTGTAATCCCTGCGATCTGGGCCTTTTTCTAGGTGACTTTCTGGATTCTCTAGGCAGCAAGAGGGACACTTTGCTAACATTGGTGCAGCATTTTCTCCAGTTCCTGCCTTGTGTTTTCATTCTGTTTTATTACTTTCCATGTTAAGAAGTTAAACATCTTTAAGGTAATGAAATGCAATCTTAAGTTGCCTGCAATGACTTACCATCAATCTTAAATTTACCCTTTTGGGGTGCAGTAAAAATGTTTCCCCCAGGTTTCTTCTCCTGCTCCTCTTCCTCTTGCTCCTCTTCCTCTTCCTCCCCCTCCTTCTGCTCCTCATCCTCCTAATCTGTATTTATTGGGCCTGGTCTCAAGCAGGAGGCACACATATTAATGAGTTCCAGGCCCTGCTCTGAGCTCAAATGTCAAATTGAAAAGAGAGACAATTATAATATGTCAACAATCCCCAAAACAGGTCGGGTTCTTTTGAGAAGGAGCGGGTTGCTCAGTGAGTGTCACTATGAGTGTTATAATGATGCTGCCCTGCTCCTCCCTCTCCCTCAGGACTCAGCCCCTGGAGCTAGGGAGTCACCTGTCTTTCCTGCTTCCAGGGGGACCATCTCTGATCTCAGGTGTGGTCGCATTCCCAGGACTTCAAACCCTGAGTTCCAAACTAGCCAAGCTGTTCCCCAGTTTCTCCCTCTGCTTTCCTTATGTTCTCTCTCCATATGTGATAAACAGCTGACATACAGTGATGACTACGTTCCAGCCGCTGTTGTACATGTTTCAGGCCCATTGGTCCTCATATGTCCTTAAGCGGTGAGTTAGCATTATCACCCCCTTTGTAGGTGAGGAGCTGAGCAGAGAGGATCTCCCAGGATCAGCCAGTAAGAGGCACAGCCTGAGTGACCCAGGCAGCCCTGCTCCAGAAATCACACTGGAACTCACACACTCTGTGCCTTGCAAAGATTTGTAAACACTTCATTCAACAATGAGTAACTGCTTCAAGATATGAAAAATCCCATAAATTTCCTCAATGTCTCTCAAATCCAGTGGCCTGGGCTATTGGCGGAGATTCCAGGCCCATGGCACTACCTCCTGCGGGGCCACAAGGTGGGTGTGAGGGGGGCCTGGCTGGGCCTGGAGCCTGGGACAGGAGACAAGGCCAAAAGGGAGCCACCAAGGGGCCTGCCTGTCTTGCTCACGTCTCCCTCCGCCTTCTCTGTCCCAGCTGAGCCCACAGTGACCGTGTATCCTGCAAAGACCCAGGGCCTGCAGCACCACAGCCTCCTGGTCTGCTCCGTGAACAGCTTCTATCCGGGCCACATTGAGGTCCGCTGGCTGCGCAACGGCCAGGAAGAGGAGGCCGGGGTGGTGTCCACGGGCCTGATCCGGAACGGGGACTGGACCTTCCAGACCCTGGTGATGCTGGAAACAGTTCCCCGGAGTGGGGAGGTCTACACCTGCCAAGTGCGGCACCCCAGCAGCACCAGCCCTGTCACCGTGGAATGGAGTGAGACGCCCTCTGACCTCACACGCCTCCCCCCCACAGGAGCCTTTGCTTGTCCCTGAGGGTCAGGGTCCCCTCTCCCCGCACCCATTTCATTTGCTCTGTCTCTCCTTCAGCACCGGCCGCAGGGTAGGCATGTGATCGCTTCTGTGAACACCCATAGCCCTGGGAGGCCGCCATGCCTGCCCTGCTTTGAATTCCCCACACTCTCCCCGTCATGGTGCCCCTTGGCCCTGGGCACCATCCCCTGTGGGCTGGGCGGGTGCTTCTGCCTGCGCTGAGCTGCCCACTGTGATCTGGGAAGAGGCGCGTCCTCCACAGTGTGGGGACCTTCCTTCAGTGGGAGAGCCCCGTCTGCTCTGCCGTCTGCGGCTCTGTCACCCGGGCCAAGTCCTGGAGGTAACCGAGCCCCGGGCTCCGCAGCCTCAGAGGCCGAAGCAGTGTGCTTGGTTCGGGTGTGAGGGGTCCTGAGGCCAGTGCCTGGGCCTTGTACCTGCTCAGTGTGACCTCAGTCTCTTTCCTGGAAACGGCTATTGATCAGCTTCTTCTAGGGCAGCTTCCGCACTCCCCAACCCCCCTCCTCCCCACAAGCTCTCAATCCCAGGGTCTCCATTAGAGAAGTTGGTTTGGGCCAAAACCCACTGAAACCAGCTTCTTCTCTCAGGGGCCCAGTCTGGATCCGCACAGAGCAAGGTGCTGAGTGGAGCCGGGGGCTTCGTGCTGGGGCTGCTCTTCCTCGGGGCGGGGCTGCTCATCTACTTCAGGGCTCAGAAAGGTAAGGGGCCTGCTGGCAGCCAAGGCACTGAGACGGTGGGGAGAACTGGGGCTTTGCTGGGTGAGCTCTGGGTATTGCAAAGCCATAGAAGCCTCTCTTTCCCTGTTGATCTCACGTTCCCTGGAAATTCAGAAATAACCAGCTCCCGATTCTCAGGGTGGAGACATGAGGAGTCATGGCTGTGGGGATAGAGAGGGGTTAACACGCACAGGATTTGGGTGCAGATCCTGGGGCACATGGAGGAGCAGGCCCTGTGGTCACTAATGACACTGGATGTGACAGCTTCGGGGCCACTGCTCTCAGCTTCTGCTCTGGTCTCTGCTCTGGTGTCAGCGGGTGGGGGTGCTGCCAGAGAAGCTCAGGTGGCCTGGGCGGGGACCCTGTGTTTGAGGTCACACTTTCATTCCTATATTTTAAGTAGCAACTTCCTTCGCTTCCCAGGACAGTCTGGACACTCTGAGGGCCCTGTGCCCTCCCCTGGCTCAGGCCAGGGACACACCACATAAGTGCACCTTGGAGGTGAGCTGTTGTTCATTCTAATGAATGTACTCAGGTTACGGGAGTTGATCACTGTGGGGACCATGGAAAGCAGCAAGGGCTCAAGCTCCCACACACTTTTATTCAGACAACACTCAGGATTTCTTTAATCCTCTCTCAGGGACGCATTCGGTTTCCCTAGAACAGAAGGTGCAGGGTACGAGCCAGGGGACAGATAGCGGGGAGCCTGGGTGTGGCTCTGGCCGCTTACACTGCAGGGTCTCCTCCGGCCTGGTGAGTGGCAGCTCTAAAGCAGCTGTGGCTCCTGTGGCCTCAGAGCTTTTCTTCTCACTTGGGAGCCACAGCAGGAGGCCTGGGAAGGCAGCGCCCCTGCTGGCTGGGCCTGGGAACAGCACTGTCCTCTGTCTGCAGGACTCCTGAGCTGAGGTGGCCATGGCAACAGGGGCAGGAAAGAACGCTTAGACATGGAAGCACTTTTAAATGATTGATTGGAGGAGAGAAAGGAAGGGGGAGAGAGAGAGAGATGTCGATTTGTTGTCCACTCATTTATGCTCCCATTGGTTGCTTCCTGTATGTGCCCTGAGTGGAGGTCGCCCCTGCAACCATGGAGTATTGGGACGACACTAACCAGCTGAGCTCCCTAGCAGCGTAGACATGGAAGCGATTCTAGCTTTGGCTCCAGTGAAGCCACATGTCCCCAAAGCACCACTAGGCCAGACATTTATCACTTGAATAAAATTCCACATCCCCATGTTGGTCACCGCAAGATGGAAACAGAACTCCCTACAAGTTAACTATCTCTACGCCCCTGATATTACACATAAACACCACCTGGTAGCACAGGAATTCACATAGAAGTATGTAAACCTGTCATAAATCTGAACAAACAACTACCGGTGGGACAGCATGGGTGGCAAATGGTCCTCCGTGTGGATTTAGATGGGGCGCAAACGTGTGAAGGCGGCCCCTTTCCTCCTCCTCCTGCGCTCAGCTCTGTCCCGTGGGTGTGGAGGCCACAACGCCGAGCCTCTCACCATAGCATGGTTGGCGCTGCTGGCAGGGCTCTGACTCAATGGCTCAGGTGCAGCCACGGCTCCTGCTGAGCGTGCTTGCGAGAGTGCAGGCGAGGGTACATAGAGCGCCAGTCCCATCTTCACTGCGTTACACTGTCATGTCACATGCTGCCTTCCGTCAAGGGGTCATACAAGATGTAGCCATTTCTAGGTGTTTCCATGACTCCTAGAACACAGGTGTGTGAAAGGACAGAACAGGGCTGATAACCGTGTTCCTAACTCCTCTTCAAGCAAAAGCCATAGAATGTATCAGTTGCTCAGCCAGCCCTTATCTCAGCCAATAGGAACGCAAGGAAACTAGCCCAAGGCCAAAAGTATGCTAGCCACCTCCTGTCTTTGTGTAACCAGACCCTAGCTGCACCCTGCCCTTGCATCATTAGCCCCCAGCCCTCACTCAGCCAACCGGAATCAGCCAAATCAGTGGTCCGAGTGAGCCCCCACCCCCTGACCCAAGCCCTATAAATTCTTTGTTCTTCCAAGACTCCGGGCTCTCTTGCTTCCTGTCACTCCACTGTGTCAGTGAGGGAGGCAGAGGGACCAAACTAGCTAGTTTGAATAAATGACTCTTTGCTTTTGCATCAGACTCGGCTTCCTGTTGGTCTTTCTTTGGGGATTTTGAAATCTGGGCATAACAGTGTGTGGCTCTTCAACAATCGTATATCGTTTGTTTTGACTCCTATAGACCCCTGAAACTTTAACTGGGAGCATGAGTTCCCCTTGAGGGGCTACTGTGCTTCCCTTGAAAGATGAGAGCAAGTTCAAAATCTACCTCTCTTTCCTGTGTTACTTGTTCCCCAGGAATCTCAGAGCTAACGGTGAGATGCATGCAGAAATTCTATTGTCTTCGCTTCTATTTGTTACTAATATTTCCTCCCTGATTCTGTCCATGTACTTTTGTTAATGTTGGTTTAATCATCAGGTAATGCACCTTCATTGCAATAATTAGGAGTGTGCGAGGCAGTACATATGCCCACCCTGCAGCTGCCAACCTGTCCTTTCAGAGGTGAGCGTGGCTGATGGTTGAAGAGTAACTTCTCACATATGACACTCAGCTCTCCTCCACTGATGCCACTTTCCATGTTACCCCTTCCTTCCCCTGTAGTGTGTATAGATTCATTTCCCAATATCCTCCCAGGACTCTCTGAGCTCTGTCCCCACCACCTCGTTATTACCTCCCTCGGCTAAATGCTCCCGGCGGCCTCTGCAGTTCCAGGCACAGTGTCCCTCTGGGTCTCTCATTTTCTGTTGCCAAGTCCGGAAACCTGACTTTCTAAAACTCCTCAGAAGCCAGACAAGGGGGCACATGGGAGGATAAAGAAGACAACACTTTCTTTGAAAGACAATCAGATGTCCCAGGCCCATGGTGACCCCCCTGTAAGGAAGCTGGACAGTGTGGTGCTGGATGTCGGTTACAGGGTCAGGCCCTGCCCGTGCTCTGTGACCTCCAGCTCCAGGCAGTCAGACAAGCCTCAGGTTTCCACACGCCACTGGCACGTTGATGGTCTGTTCTCTTATTGACATGAAGGACGGAAACTAACCTTACCCAGCTGTTAGCTGAAACTCTTAAAGGGAAGATAGGGGAGGGTGGGGGTAAGAGGGAGAGATCAATCAAAGGACTTATATGCAAGCGTATAGGCCTAACCAATTGACACAGACAACAGGGAGGTGAGGGCATGAGAGGGAGTGATACGGGGTAACATGGGGATAAGGACACATATGTAATAACTTAATCAATAAAAAAATATTTTAAAAAAAGTATCGCTTGCAAAGAGGGGGAAAGTCTATTGGCAAGAAGTCATATTATTTGAGGAGGTGGATTGAACCAGGAAGGGAAAGTTACCTTATTCCTTCAAAAGAGTTTAAAACAGTCAGTGAGTTTTAACTTCACTTTGTGTATTGAAATGGTCAGTCACAACCATTTTATATTTTGATAATTTGTTTATACTTTTGTAACTTAACACGATCACTTTATTCTTCAAAAAGTACCCTATAAATTATAACAGGTTGTGAAGCTCCTAATATACATATTTACTCATCATTTGTTGAGAGGAGAGACCATTGAGCCAAAGTGAAAGACTGAAACAATAAACGCAATGTTTCTGCATAAGCTGCCGACTTAACGATTTGGCAGTTGCCGTCTTAATGAACAGAGCAAGTAGCTAGAGGCCCCCTTGGCAGCCCATCCAGGTAAGCACTCCCAGGACTAGCCCACGCAGGAGCACAGACAGAGTGTGTTCCTGGAGGCCTTGAGTCATGGCTCTAAAACTATAGGCAGAGAGACGATGGGCAGGAGGAAAGATATTGCAATGAATTAGCAATAGCTGAGGGGATGCTGACAGTTAAAAGAACTTAGTGTTCACCTCAATTCAGGGAGAAACTGAACACACTGCTGTGCACTTGCCCCGTTTCAGGACCAGTGGCCTGGAGGACTGACTTGTCACACGTCTGCATTTTCAAAGCCTAGAAATGGGAAAGAACAGAACAGGGCTGATGGAATGTGCACTCCATGGAATGTGCACTCCTGGAGCAGCCTCACATTTCTGCATCCTCATGTGATCTTCTGCTGTTAGAAAGCATTCCCTGGGGCGGGGGGGGGGGGGGGGGGAACCAAGATGGCAGCATAGGTGAACACTGGAGATTGCTGCTGCAAACAACCACTTCAAAAATACAACTAAAAGACGGAATGGACATCACCCAGAGCCACAGGAAGGCTGGCTGAGGAGAGATTTTTCAACTAGAAGGAAAGAGAACAGCATATCGAGGCTCAGAAGAGGCGCAGTGTGGAAAATACAAAGGTATGGAGGTGCACGTGGAGCCGGCTGGTGGCTGAGGGCATGGTTGTCGTTTTCAATCAGGAGGGAGTCTCAGACTCTGAGCTCCAGATCCGGGCGAGTCTCTAGGGACTCAGACTCAAACGGGAGAAGCGGGATTGTCTGGCATCAGTCGGAACGTGAGGGCAGCTTTCTCTGAGGTTTGCAGCGGTTGCTGGGGTTCTGAGAAGCAGAGCCTCTGGGAACGGGACTGAGAGCAGCCATAACTGCTCCCTCCACCCGCCCTGTTGATCCCCTGCGACCCGACCCGCCCAAGCCCTGCGCAGAGCCATTTGCTGGATAGCCTTAGGCAAAGCCAAATTAGCACCTCTCCAGAGGACAGAAGTTTTCCCACTGCAGACACAGCTGATTCTCACAGCCAGTTGGCCTGGTGGTCAAATCCCTCTAGTATTAACTACAACAATCAAGGCTTAACTAGAACAAGACTGCGCACAAAGACCACAAGGGGGTGCACCAAGAAAGCATAAAAAATGCGGAGACAAAAAAAACATGACAGAAATGGATATAGAGCTAAAAAACGCACTTTTGAGGGCTTTCAATAATTTGCTAGAAACTGCCGATAAACTTGATGAGAGCCTCAAGAAATCTAATGAGACCCTAGATGTTGTGATAAAGAACCAACTAGAAATTAAGCATACACTGACTGAAATAAAGAATATTATACAGACACCCAACAGCAGACCAGAGGAGCGCAAGAATCAAGTCAAAGATTTTAAATGCGAAGAAGCAAAAAACACCCAACCGGAAAAGCAAAATGAAAAAAGAATCCAAAAATACGAAGATAGTGTAAGGAGCCTCTGGGACACTTTCAAACGCACCAACATCAGAATTATAGGGGTACCAGAAGATGAGAGACAGCAAGATATTGAAAACCTATTTGAAGAAATTATGACAGAAAACTTCCCCCACCTGGTGAAAGAAATGGACTTACAAGTCCAGGAAGTGCAGAGAACCCCAAAAAAAAGGAATCCAAAGAGGACCACACCAAGACACATCATAATTAAAATGCCAAGAGCAAAAGACAAAGAAAGTATCCTAAAAGCAGCAAGAAAAAGAAAGTCAGTTACCTACAAGGGAGTACCCATACGACTGTCAGCTGATTTCTCAACAGAAACTTTGCAGGCCAGAAGGGAATGGCAAGAAATATTCAAAGTGATGAATACCAAGAACCTACAACCAAGATTACTTTATCCAGCAAAGTTATCATTCAGAATTGAAGGTCAGATAAAGAGCTTCACAGATAAGGAAAAGCTAAAGGAGTTCATCACCACTAAACCAGTATTATACGAAATGCTGAAAGGTATCCTTTAAGAAGAGGAAGAAGAAGAAAAAGGTAAAGATACAAATTATGAACAACAAACATGCATCTATCAACAAGTGAATCTAAGAATCAAGTGAATAAATAATCTGATGTACTGGTGATTATAATGAATCAGGGACATAGAAAGGGAATGGACTGACTATTCTTGGGGGGGAAAGGGGAGTGGGAGATGAGGGAAGAGACTGGACAAAAATGGTGCACCTATGGATGAGGACAGTGGGTGGGGAGTGAGGGCGGAGGGTGGGGCAGGAACTGGGAGGAGTGGAGTAATGAGGGGGAAAAAAAGAGGAACAAATGTAATCTGAACAATAAAGATTTAATTTAAAAAAAAAGAAAACAAAGAAAGCATTCTCTGGTTAATGATATAGTCATCCTATCTAATAATAGACAAACATGGTAACTGATGACCGTACCTTCACTACACCTCCCATTGGCTAATCAGTGTGATATGCAAATTAACTGCCAACAAAGATGGTGGTTAATTTGCATAGGTAGACTCCAAGCAGAAGAGGGAAGACTGAAGGCAAGCCGGAGCAGCGAAGACGGAAGACTGAAGGCAGCTTCAGCCGGAGCTAAGGCCTGGGTCCCAGGTGCCTGAAGAAAACTGGTGCCGGCAGCCAGGAAAAGGGAAGGCCTATTTCATGAATCTCTTCATGCAACAGGCCTCTAGTCTTATATAATAAAAGCCTAGGTGATGTCACGCCCTCACATGATGTTGTCACAAGATGGCCATCACAAGAAGGCTGCCACAAGATGGCCTGCAGGGAAGAGCAGTTGTGGGCAATCAGGCCTGTAGGGGAGGGCAGTTAGGGGCGACCAGGCCTGCAGGGGCGGGTAGTTGGGGGCCATCGGGCTGGCTGAGGAGAGTAGTTGGGGGCAATCAGGCTGGCAGAGGAGCAGTTAGGCATCAATCAAGCTGGCAGCAGAGCAGTTTGGAGCAATCAGGCAGGCAGGCA